AGAGTAGACAGAATATATTTAAAAACCTGATTGCCATCATATTCTATAAAGTGTTTTTATGCAGAAAACATTCAGTTTTGGTTTGCTGTTATAAACTGAATAGAAATATGTTAATGTTGTCTCCTAATGTATTTGTCTCATGTCTGTATTTGACGTCCACATCCATTTTCTTGTATCTTTGACTGAGTGTCTGAGATTAAAAGACAACTTTTACTACAAATGAGTGGAGGCCTGCTCCACTGCTCTCATTCGGACAGTTTACAGTTTTCCTACAGATCTTTGAACAGAGGAGCCACAGAGGATTAAATATTTGACTTTGTTTTATTGATCCTTCTTGTACAGTGTCGAGGTGGCAACAGTCACAGTTATTGCTGTCCCTCTCTCCGCCTCGCTCTTACAGCCAGTGGCGCTCTCTCTCCTGCTCCGTGTCGTGCTGCCATACCGCTTGTTCTCTCAGAGGAGTGAATTCAAGGGGAAAAGCCTAAGCACGAGATGTTGATTCTTGAGGAGCTGACTCAACAGAGTCTTAAGGACCACTTGTTGCGTGTGTATATGTGTGTGTGGTCCAGGCATTACTCATTACCCTAAATCTGTTTACACACTGTTCACATTAAGGGGACAAAATTAAGAGCTCAAAATATTAATGATTAAAGGTTTATTTAAATTAAGAGGAAGACATGGTTTCAGGTTAAAGTTAGGGTTTAGGGTTAGGAAAGTGTGGTTAGGTTTAGAGAAAGACTGTAGACATGGAGACATGACTGTGTGTGATTGGCTCAGACATGCTGTGCTGAACAGCACTTGAAAGAAGGCTCGACCAATTTATCTCAGTCTTAATCTGGGCAGAAAGTAGGGCCACATAAAAAAATGATCATTATCCTCTTAAAATGCAAAGAAACCCTTCAATTTTTATATATGTCCAGAATGAATTGCCAGCTCCTTCGTGCATTAAGGTAAATATAGACTATCCTTTTGGCTGTTAGACTGCGACTGGAGTTAACAGTGAGCACATGTGCTTGCAGAGACGTTTAATTTGCATTCAGAGAGAAATGCTTCATGTGTTGGAAGAATGAGGAATTAAAATGGAATTTGGTGAGACGGAAACAAAAAATTAATGACACAAAGTTGGATTTTCTGGCTGCGTTCCATTGTTCCCTGGTGCATT